TGGCACGTGTCTGAGCTGGGGTGTCATCATGTTTGTCTGAAGAGCCCACGCAGCAGTTTTAAAGGGATTCGCAAACTGAAGAAAGCTGCGGTTCTCGCCAGTAAGCAATATTTCAGCGGCAAAACGCCCTCTGAACGGTCTGTGAGTACAAAGCAGCCAGCATGTGAATCACTTTTACAATGTCACGTTCTCTCCTTCCACTCGGGGAGGGAGCACAATGCTTCCATAAGCAGATCCTAACAGCACAGATGCTGGTGCTGATTTGAGCATAAACGCTGTCCCGCACACACACACACACACACACACACACACACACACACACACACACACAAAGGAAGGAGAGAAAGAATCCCAGAGTGCCATGCCTGCGTAAATCTTACATTTTTATGAATCACTGCCATGATGGCAACCACACAGTGAAAATTTGTGCCTGAGGATGTGAATGGATCCTTCTAGATAGTTTAACTTCTCTCAGGCTCCTCATCATTTATATGTGTCCACGTATCATACCCACAACAGGACTTTGTCTCCCAGACTGCAAGGGTAGCAGCCGGGACCCTGTGTGACGAACGCTGGAAAAGATTGGTTAGTTGTAACCCAGAGGAGCACAGTCTTTCTGATGCCTCTGCCGCTATGTCGTCAACATCCGGCCACAGACTCAACATGAAGTTTTCCATTTCCTATCAGCAGCTGTTTCCTAGAGCCAACGAACATCGCCCACCGTCAAATTTTATGCTTTGTAAAAGGTGACCTACACTTTCTTTTCCAATGCAGTTTCTTCAATGAAAATATTGTAATGTCAGTCCATGCAAAGCAAATGCATATTAATATGCGTTTACATCTGTCTCGTATTAATATTCATGCCTGAATCCACATCCCTACACAAAGCCAATTTTCTGACCATCTGTGTGATGGCTGGTGGATGCAATGAATAAATTTTATTTGTGAGGGGAGTGATAAATCATGTATCTTCGGGTTTTTTTTTTTTTTCCACCGACAATCTTCCCTTTTAGGTGCAAACATGTTTTCATCGTGGTTTGGAATATTGAAGGAAATGAAAAGGATTAACCCTTTAGTGTCCCTCCATGCTATCGCAATCTCATAAAGGCCATGAAAATGCGCTCTCAACACCTCTAATCAAACACCAGGAGAAGGAACTACAGATTCGCTTCGTGAGATTTGACATCTCTGCTTCCTCTGTGAGTCCCACTCTGTAATAATCCTCTTTGGTGTGGTTTAAAATGCACACTAGCTGCTTTTGAAAATTTTCACAGAGAAAGGCAAGGCCGTGCGCAAAGAGTGTATTTCTGAAGTCCTTCCAGCCACCCAAAGTATCTTCAAAGTCACATGACGTGTAAGCATACGCAATGGAAAGATCTCAGAGAAAGTTTGACAATATTTCTATCATGATCTCTGTCCTGTCGCTTTGACCCCCCACGGAAATATCAAGATTTCAGCGGTAACAACTTGTTTGCAAATTTGGGGATCTGGTGGGGACCATTGCATCCAAATCATAGAAACAATGACCTTTTAGGACAGGAGACAATTGCAGTTAATTAACCTGGCACACAGAACCCACTCAGAAGGGTTAGACTGGAAAGCAATCATATCATGGCAGAGAGCGCCTGAGAAGCTCATACACTAAGGAAAGAAGTGTCATCAGATGGCCTGAGGAGCAAAAGCCGCGTCTTGCTAAGGTGATTTCCTCACCTCTTCCCAGGGACACCTCCTGTGAATTCTAATCGGACTACTAGATGGAATCCAAACCCAACGTTTCCATTCGGTTTCATTTGCCGTCTCCGAGTTAGACAGGGCTTCTCTAAGGTCCCTGAGAATGCCACACGTAGCACAGATCATAGCTTCCAGGTCACAGCAGAAATAAATTGAAATTTCGTGTTCTCACAGGCTGCCAAACATTTCTGTTTCTGCTTTAATGACACAGAGCAGCGAGGTCAAATGGGAACCCACAGAGCTATAAATCTGCTGTAGATACAGCCCGTTAGCAAATGGATACGCAAATGGTAAATGGAGCAGTCGGAGAAATCTTGTCTCAAGAAAGCGTGTTACTGAGTAAGCACCTGCTACTTGCAAGATACATCGTGCTGAGACTGAGATGAGATGCCGCGCTGGCCTCATAACGCTTTCCACCTAATAGTGAAGGCACGTTCTCCCACCAGAAGAGTCTCAACAGTGAAGTTAGAGGATGATCGATGCAACTGAGCATCATAAAAGGATGAAAAAGACAGTGAGATTCCCACAAGCCCAGGGAATCAAGGGACCTCTCCAAGGAGATTTTAAGAGCAATCCCGAAGGCTGAGAAGATTCAGAATGTCAGAGGAAAGGCGTCATATGAGATGGGAGAAGCTTTACAAAGGCCCAGAGCAGGAAGTATTTAGTGGGAGGAAGGAGGAAGAGCTGGAGAAACCTATGGGTAGACCTCTATGGTGACATCTGAGAATTAACACTCAAAATTTTGGGAGTTAAGGGAAATGATTTTGAGTAGTACACATGTAGGCATTAAATAACATTGAAGCCGAAACCGGTTTGACTCAGTGGATAGAGCATCAGCCTGCGGACTGAAAGGTCCCAGGTTCGATTCCGTTCAAGGGCATGTACCTTGGTTGCGGGCACATCCCCAGTAGGAGGTGTGCAGGAGGCAGCTGATCGATGTTTCTAACTATCTCTCTCTCCCTTCCTCTCTATAAAAAAATCAATAAAATATATATTTTTAAAAAATAACATGGAATTATAAAGCCAGAAAAAGAATTCCTTACAGCCAAAACCGGTTTGGCTCAGTGGATAGAGCGTCAGCCTGCGGACTGAAGGGTCCCGGGTTCGATTCCGGTCAAGGGCATGTACCTGGGTTGCGGGCATATCCCCAGTAGGAGATGTGCAGGAGGCAGCTGATCGATGTTTCTCTGTCATCGATGTTTCTAGCTCTCTATCTCTCTCCCTTCCTCTCTGTAAAAAATCAATAAAAAAATATAAAAAAAAAAAAGAATTCCTTACAACTGTTTATTCTCCTGTTGCCTCAAGAAGACAGTCTCTCCCCGCTTGATGCTAATATATCTTTCACACCACTCCAGTACTTGCAAAATCCCTCTTTTTAACAGAGAGAGAGCCAGCCTCAGGCTCCGTCTACAAACTAGAACTTAACATTGTTTGCTTTCCTGGGTTTTTTTTTATTCTTAGTGTTACTTTACTTTATTCCAAGTAGTACTCACCAGTCTTCCATTTGTGGTAGTCATATAAAATTTCCCTGGAAGAAACACCTATTTAAGATTTTTTCAAATTACTTGTTTTTTGAGATAAGAAATAGAATGAATGAATGTGATGAAAAAACTGATGTGACATAGTAACTGGCAAGATGGAAAGATGGGTTGGACTCAGTCTAGAAATGCCTCCATATAGAAGCTAACTAGGTTTAATTATAGCCTTGGGTTTCAATTCCATTTTTTTAATCCTCACTCAAGGATATGTTTATTGATTTGAGAGAGAGAGGAAAGAAGAGAGAGTGAGAGACAGAGCAAAACATCAATGTGAAAGAGAAACATTGATCGCTTGCCCCCCGGACATGCGCCTACAGATCAAACCCACAACCTTTTGGTGTACAGGACGAGGCTCCAAACAACTGAGGCACCCAGCAAGGGCTGATCTCAATTCCATTTGGTAATGCTGAGTTTCTTGGTTCCCCTCCTATACGGCATTGCTGAGATTGTGTTTATAAAATCTCTTTCAGGCCTAGAATTTTTTTAAATATACCTAAACTTTTTTTCATACAAATACAAAAAAAAACATTATCTAAATGAGAGATGGAAAAAACATAATAGTTCACCATGATGTTTCTCTCTATCCCTCAGAGATTCAATATGAGAAATAAACATAAACTGCTTCACCAGAAGCAAAAGGATGTAGCTTTCATGAGATCGCTCCAGATTTCACACCATATACTTAAGTATAATTTAGCATAATATTGATAGATGTTTACATCTGCCACCCACCTTTTCCAGAGATATTGCAAGGATTACTGATACAATATTTGGTAGGTCTTTTCAGCTCTTGAAGAAAATATACACCATAAAATTAAGGTAATAGTAATAGTCATTATCATAACAGCAATAACTGCTCATCCATGTACATTTTCAAACATGGGCCTGTGTTGATGGAAAGGAAAATTAGGCTGAAGCTGAAAATGCAGACTCATCAGCTGGTTAGAACACACAGACTTGGGACGGAACCATCATAATGCTATCTACGATTTATTGAGGTCTGGAGTGGGGTCTGAGATTCTGCATTTGTGGGAACTCCCAGGTTACCGGAGCCAGATCTCATTCAAGAAGCTGGAATGATGATGCATACATTGGCCACTGATACCCTCGTTGGGGGGAACTGGCCCATGAGGGCTATTGCTCTCTGTGGAAACTAGCGGGGTGTCCAAGACAATGACCTAGGGCTCCTTTTCTTCTCTACTGCAGATCCCAGTGGTGGAAGGCCTGCTCACCTTCCTGCTCTTCTACACCACCTTCCTGAGTGTTTTTTCTCCCCATCACGATGGGCTGTGGAGATGACACACTCTCTACAGGACTCGCCCCTTCCGGTTGCCACAAAGAAAAACACAGGGGCCTTTAGAACCCAAATGTCAGCTGCCTGGATGTCTCCATAAAATTTTATGGCAAAGGGGGGCAAAGATGGTGGGACAGCATCTGTTTTAAAAAATGCTCCAGCATGAATTAGCATCGCTCCACTCTCTCGGGCCTCCCAAAAGAATTCTACTATTTCCCAAGTCTCCCCTTGCTTCGGTTGTCTGCTTTCAGTGAGTTCCCTTTCCCCCTTCAGCCCCTCTTCTCCCCAGCCCACATCCACACCAATGTCAGATGTGTCTGCTTTTTCCTTTTCTCGCTCCCACAGATGATGGCCACTGTACAAAGGGATAAGGCAGAGCGTTGAGAGGGACAGAGGAACTTCGCTACAACCAGCACAGGAAACAGCTGAACACTTACCATCACAATTCCTTTTTCTCACAGTCCACCAGCTCCAATCTCCTGAAATGAATTTTTTCCTCCTTACAACACACTGATAATCACTCTGGAGAAAAAAACAAACAAACAAAAAACCAAGCTTTAAAAAAGTAAAACACAGGAAGCATGGAGTTTAGACCTATCATTCTGACTCTCTTTCTCAAAGGGCATCAAAGCTCAGTTAATCAAAGACTCGCCTGCTTTTGATGTTGTTTCTCCAAAGAATGGCCTCCACAATCCCCTGCGTGACATTGGACTGAACCCCTTATTCTTATAAAGAACCCCCAACCCTAAAATGAAGATGCAACTCAGAGATATGAGCTATTACCTTTGTACATGCCTTCCTCCAGTATGTGGTGGCCATGTCCAAGCAACTCCACAGTGGAGGGTCCCACTTCCAAATACTCCCATGCTCTCACCCTAATTGAGTCCCATCACTTAGCTTTCCTTCCCCTGCTGGATTGGAAATCCTTTGGGGCACATGCCAGTGGTTCTTACTTTTGTGTCCCTGTGCCCCCAATTCTTAGTCCTACTCATAGAAAAAGGCCTCTTGTCCTTATGCACTGACCGATTCTTTTGTTGTTGTTGTTAACTCCTCACCCGAAAATATTTTTCCATTGATTTTAAGGGAGAGTGGAAGAGAGAGGCAAAGACAGAGAGGAACATCGATGTGAGAGAAACACATCGATTGGTTGCCTCCTGCACCAGACCTGACCAGGGCCTGGGCTGGGGAGGAGCCTGCAACCAAGGTACGTGCCCTTGACTGAAATCGAACCCAGGACCCTCTGGTCCGCAGGCCAACGCTCTATCCATTGAGCCAAACCAGCGAGGGCTGATTCTTGAAACCACACCCACTTATGAATCAGTTTTTGCTTTCTTCATAACTGACCTTACCCACATGCACCCATACCAAAGGCACCATATGTTAGTTCTCATGTTGAACTGAATAAAGAAAAGAAATTTAGAAAGAGCTATACACATCACCTGGGTAATTATTCTGCATTTATAATAGAACAAAGAGTTTTTGGCTGAGTTGAAAGTAAGACCAATTGTGTTTTTAAAAGATTCTTGGCAATCTGTGGGTTGTGCCTTATTTGCAGCCAATCAGGTCAACGTTGATATCCTTTAACCACTGACTTTATTTGATTATTTACAATAGCTAACATAACAGCACTGGCAATATTTCCTACAGATGCCACCTCTTCTGTTCTCCCAATTTTAAATAAACTCTCAATTCTCCTAGTCTCTGAACAGCCCTGGGTATGTGTTAGCAATTGGCTTTAATGGCACAATCTACATCTACCTCACTTCCAAGGCACAGACAGTATACACACCCTTGGGGTTATGAGCTTGTCTCGTTAGGAAGAAATGTGGCCCTAGTTATATTTTCAGAGATCTCACATAAATAATTCTTGGCTGCAGAAGAAGCAATTGAATCATCCCTTAGGTTTTATCCCCCCCCTTGGAATTTCTGGGTTGGGATTTCCGTCTTTGCCTATCTTGTTCAGGCTGTATTTCATACGCCTAGAACAGTGCTTTGCCCATAGAAAGTGTTCAATAAATATTTATGGACTAAATGAATGACCATGTGAATAAGGAATAAACTATATTAAGAGCTAGAAGATCAACATATCCTTGGATTCAAATCCAAAATTTAAAATGCTGCTGTTTAATTTTTTTCGGTGGCATTGGCCTTTTAATAAACTGTTCCTTGTTCATTTGGCACTTCAAAGGGGTCGAGAGAAAAATATGTCCTTCCCTTGCCAATAAAAATAAAATGGTTCACCACCTGGGCCCTGTAAATATTTAGGTGCTTTCTCTCAAGCTTTGAGTTCGTGTTATGATGCAGTGTTTCTCCATGGAGGCGCTACTGGCATTCTGTAGGATATTGTTCCACGCTTGGCAGGACACTTAGCATCACTACTGTCCCCCGCTAAGAGGTACTGCCGAGTCAATGTGACCTCCCACAACATCCTCATGTACTACTCACTCATCTCCGTAAGAACCTATTCTAAGTTTTTATTGGATATGAGTTATATCCAAGACTTCCTCGTTTCCTTCAGGACAAAATTCAAACTTGAAATTAAACCTGGTCAAGTCTTTCATGACTTGTCCTGTTACCACCAGCAGTCTGATTTCTCGTAATAGCCCCACCTATCCTTCAGCATCACCCCTCCACCTGCCACTGCACACATGTGCCTTGTTCTTGCCCGTCCCTGTGTCCAGTCATGCTGTTCCCTCTGATGAGAATGTCCTTCTAATCCCTGCCTCCCACGTCCACCTGCAAGGACAACTCAAGTATTTCCTTGTATTGGCTGCACGTCCTGACAATTGCTCCACCTCAGCCACTACTCAGAGAGGTTGTGCTTGTTTGGTTCATTGTCAGTCTCCTCCCATTAACCGCTGGGCTCTCTGAAAATAAAGAGTTTGGCTTCTTCATTTCTGATTCCTTAGTACCTAACACTGCACGCACTAGCGTACACAGCATACCACGCCATAGTATGGAGTAGGCATTGTGCTACATAAAGGATATAAATCAAGGACAATGTGCCGCAGCCTGCCGTGTGCTGCCCTGTGCTGGGTTCTGGGGATGCCATGGAGAGGGAATGAGACAGACATGAGCCCGTCCCTCATGTCTACAGGAAAGGACGGACATTACGTCATTCCAACTGTGGTGTAAAGTGATGAAAGAGGAGGTTCAGAAGAGGGTGGTGGGAGAGCACAGCATGGGGCTCCATCATGCCCGGGCACCCATGAGGAAAGGACCATTCAGGATACGGAGGTGTTAGCTGGGCAAGGAAGGGTGAGAAGAACGCCCCGGGCGGAGGCAGCATATGAAGGGGTCGAAAGTGACAGGCTGTCCACTCTCCTGTATGGCTTCAGTAATGTATTCAGAGCCAAGTTCTGAAGTCCAACTGCCCAGGTCAGCAAGCAGGCACCACCATTTCCACTCCGCATGACCTTGGGCCAGTCCTAACCTGCCTCGTTCTCACTTCTTCTGTAAAACGGGAATCATCATCTTACTCTACGCTGTATTTTGCTGTTAGGACTAAAGAAGAGCATCGATTTAAAGTGCCTAGCGTGGAGTCTAGCACAAAGTGTTCTGTAAATATTACCTCATTATGTTTTGTTATTATCCAACAAACAATTATTCAACAAATGCCAAACCTTATTACCCGCCACACACACACACACACCCTCTGGCTCTGATTAGTACGTAATCAGAGTGTCTTGTCTTGTTTACTGCTTTTTCAGAAGTGGCACTAGAAAAGGAGATAGGCCGTTGCAGGAGGCAGCTGATCGATGTTTCTCTCTCATCGATGTTTCTAATTCTCTATCCCTCTCCCTTCCTCTCTGTAAAAAAATCAATAAAATATATTTTAAAAAAATAATGGTTTACTCATCTTTTTGGTTCACATAAAAATAAGGATTAAAATCTTCATAATACGCAGATTATAATGATGCCTTTTTTCACTGGATATTTTCTGTAAGGTATTCAGTTTTAAATACAATATTGTGACACAAAGTTAGAAGAGATTAACGATGAATGTTCATCCTAATTCATGAGTCACATATACAGTCCTTTGGCTCTTATCTCCCTTGTTTAGGCATTAGAACATGGTTTAGCAGCGTTCCTGTCCACACCTATGTCACACAATCCATTCAAATGCCTAACCATACATGCACATATCATTTATACTACTTGGAGCTACATACAAATTAGATGTGTCAGATTTTTGTGCATTCTGATGACATGACACTAAAAAAGTTGAGTCCATAATTTCACATTTTAAGCACAGTAATCACTTTGTTACAGTGAAATGCACAGATGCAGGAAAATAACAGCAGCCTGTGTGTATTTTTCCCCCACAGCCATCTTCATTTTTGTCCTTCCTTCCATGCAAAATTGACTCAATTCATATTGACATATTTAAGAACTCTCACGAATTATGAGATATCTTATCCCATTAGTAATCATATTCAGAGACAAAGTTGTTTTAGGCCTGTGAAATGTCAATCCAGCTCAGTGGCTACAGAACTCAACCGGTGCACGGCTGCAAGCATAACCGCACAGGCCCCATCACACAATCATAACCTTTCCACGCTACTCCTCTAATTTGATATTGCTACCTGGTTTAAATTACCATGGAGCTTTAAAGAAGATTGCCTATTTGCTTTGAATACACAGTGTATTTTCTTCTAATTACATTCTGATCACATTTTACCGAGGAAAATACATCTGGTCTATCAGTGGCATAAAATGGGGATTTCCTCAGGGGTGTGTAAAGTGTATATAAATTTCAGCTCCTGCCTGAGGTTTGCAGAGATGCTAATACACAGGTCACTTATGTGCTGGTTTTTCTTTGTGATTGGGGAGCAATGCTTGCAAGCTCCGTGCGATGTAATGGGCTCACGGGCAGTTTGGCTTACACGCATAAAGATTTAACTCTTCTGCAAGGAGTCCCTCTGCTGCTAAGCATTCGGTTCCTCCATTGCTTTCATACACCCGCCTCCCACCTACATTTATTTGGGGGAGGAAAAAAAAGCAGTGCTTCCTTTAGTTTATTCAGACTAACAGGAAGAAAGTTCGGATTTATGCATACAGTTGTATGCTACGTGGCTGATATTAAATAAAATTTATTTATTTATGATATTAAATAAATACATGATAGCAGCTTTCATGTTTAATGGCTTGATTTCCCCCCCCCCTTTGATTGCCTTCACCAATAAAAGTGTAGTCTGTAGAAAAGCACCCTTCTGGATAATCCATTGTCCCATTTTAACTCATTTTTACCAAGCAATTCCCCCTGCAGCAATCTCCACAGCCAGCCATTAGCTGTGCACATCTGCCCGCAGTAATGACCGCTCCTGTGTACATACCTGACTGCCATCCAATTTAGACCTCACCCGTAGGACGCTAATGCACCGTCTCCAGAGCCAGCTAAATTTTATACTGTTGACGCATTACAGTTACTTCATTTGGTCTTTGGAAGTGAATTCGGAGTGCCTGAGCCCGGCCAGTGTGGCTCAATGGTTGAGCGTCCACCTATGAACCAGGAAGTC